CCCATCCCTCAATAATTGTGTTTTAGTGCCGTGACGCTGTGACACACGTTTCTCCCAACAAGTTTTGGAGCACTAAACATTGCTCAAAGGATTTGCTTTTCACATCGAACGTAGTTCTAGGCATCTGCTATAGACTAACATGAAAATAAAGTCGAAAAAATGTATTCACTCCCTTAGAATTGTCCGAGAATCTCTAAACTTCAAACTTTATTAAAAAGCTTGTTTTGAGTCTAAACTTCAAAAGAAACATACCATCTTGTAGTGAATGAATTCTCTATCGACTAGTGTGATCTTCCATTTTTTAAGGAAAGGTGTCTAGGTCAGGAAACTGAAAATACAGTTTTCAAAAAACGTAAAACTGGATTTTTGCCGCCAAAATTTAACTTTTTAAAAAAAATAATGTAAGACTCGTAATTAGCATCCAAAACTGCATCTCGTGATGTGCTTCTTTCAGCTCTACTCTAAAATAAGTTTTTTAAAAACTTGATCAGCGAAGTACCGAGTTACGTGGACAAGCCGCATAAAATAAGGTAATAAAACGCAGAAGCATTTTTATTACATATAAAAAGATTATAAATTCTTCTCTTTCATCGTTATCAAACAACTGTACAATGAATCAAACACTGAAACAGAAACAGCAACAATCAGAACTTTCATTAATTGGTAAAGTAAAGTAAATTCGAATTGAGCAAAAATCGAAAGCTTCGAAGAGGTCTTTCTACAAATCAATAGTAAAGTAAATCAAAAAGTGAATTAGGATGATGTATATCGTAAAGAGGAGAAGCTTTTTTACGCGACAAAAAAGTTCATAAAACTTGGATCTTATGATCAGAAAATCTCGATTTCCCACTGACTCTTTACGAGTTGCTTTTTACATCGAATAACCTTTTTCAATTTTATATATTTAATTTTACGACCTTCTATAATATGCGATTTCAAACTCCTTTTTAACTGATCGCCATTTGTGCGACGGTAAAAAACGCTGAATTTTTCGTACTTGTGCAGTTCACTTCTGCCTAGTTTTATCACATGCTATTTTTCTCCAGCACCTCCTAGGTCAGGTAGCAGAAGAGCGGCATTTGCACGTGACATTCGTACGAGGATAATTTTGTGCACGATCAACAGACGATACTTTGAATATTTAGAGAGCCTTCATCGTCAGCATACGAGATATTTCCTTAAAAAGTATCCACAACAAAAAGATAAAATACTCGTTCTGATTGAACAGTTCGTGCAAAGAAAAGTATTAAACGAAAAAGAATTTGATAAATAGTACATTATTTCATTAATAATAGATCTAGATGTATAGTCTCACTAGGAACAATGTGGTGGTCGCAAAGACTTTTATAAGTTATAGCGACTTTATTTAGATTCAGTGTCAATAAGACTTTTTTTAACCACATACATCTTCTCGGTATCTTTTATGGGTGTCATAGGCCAGAAAAAAATACCAGCTGTTGTCTTCTTTACTATAGCAATAACTTCAAAAAAATTCAAATTCATGCTGTTACTTCATTGCTGCTGTTCTCCAAGCACTTTTCATCACCCATGTATCCTTATCTCTACTAGCATGTTGTTGTCCTCCTACACCAATATTAATATCAACACTTGCACGCAATTCATAACCATACTGTGATGTCAAGTCTAATAATTTTACCAGTAATAAACGTGAAAAGACAGCTTCATGTCCGTTAGCAAACCATGGATTCCCCCTTAGTTTAAATTGATAACATACTCCATCCACTTTCCAATGTCCATCGTGTATACCTGATGGCCACCCAGCTACGATTGCTTGTTGAAGGGCATCGATCGGTATCGGGCAGTTGATAAATCTTAATTTATGATTTTCATTAAAACTAATTATAAAAAATTGGTATTTTTCAGCAACTTCTGAAGGATCGTAAACGAATAACAATGTGTCTTTATCGTACATTTTACCCTGTATATCTGTAGATGTCAATAGACGCCAACCGATGTGTGACATATGTTGAATGAGGCTACACAGAAGAAGACGTGATGGTATGGCCTCATTGCCTTGGCCATGCCATGGATTTCCGTTCAGTTTAAATTCATACGATTCAGAGTAGACTTGTTCACGTTGAATACCTTGTGACCACGATAGTTGGATGGCATTACGTACCGTTTGTTGAACGACGGGATAGTAATCAGGTGGAAAACCAATTAGGCGTAATTTATCTGATTCGTTGAGTGAGATGGCTGCATGTAGATGAGACATTTTCCTTTTTTCTTTTTCTTTGATATAAAAGTACTGAGGTGTATGAGTGTAAAAGAATGTGAAGCTAAAAAATTTCCGTAAAAATGGCAACTTAATAAAATAACGATAATTGAAACAAAACCGTGGCTTTGAAACTTCATAGTTTACAAGGTTATTTTCAATTGTATGAGAAAGCATGTCTACGCGTGTTAACAGAACGCCTTGGCACCTTCTCATACAAAATTTAAAAATATCATGCTACCATCACCAAAAACTTTGTGGATCAGACGTCGTCACCGCCGAGAACATTTGACTTTTTTAAAAAGAATTGGAAAAATGTCGCGCCATTGCCACAGCCGAAGGCGGAAGTAAAAATGTAACTCAGCCGTCAATCCCGCCGATCGCTTAGTAGAATAACATGTCTGCATATGCCTTTCCTCTACGGATAAAGTCCATCTCCCTAACTCGCTTAGTTGAGTTGCAGCTTCTCGATAATAAATTCAGTTTATAGACAAAGATTCTGATGAGAACTATATTGATTCTACACTATACACTATCACACGTAATCTCAAACTAGACCTTCCATTCTATCGATTTATAAAAAGGAACAAACTCACCTACTGACTCTGATCGCCGTTTCCGAATTCAAGTAGACATAGCTTTTATCTACAAAAAAAACCATCGCAATACTATATTCATAAGTCGATCAAAACTATAGATAATAATTTCAAAAGTAGAAACCACATTGTTTCTAAGAATCAGTCATCTCAGATGAGAAGAACATCGATATGTACAATGTGTGTATGTAAAAAGGAAAAGATGGCACCGTCGATAGAAAAAAAGACGCATATATTTCACTTATATATTAGTTTCTTTTCTTTTTTGTCGACGACGTTATATTTTTCTTTTTATATACACACGTTGTACATATCGACGTTTTTCTTATCATGACAGACAAAACGTAAAAGCAGTGTCTGTTATACAAGCCACTTATTTCTGAAAGTGCTATGAAGTGGTGGATGATTCAACTTGATTGCATCATGTTTCCGAAGAGAAAGCCGGGTAAAACATGGTGAAATCAGTATGTCAATTACCTTAAGAATCTTCATGTTTTAAATAAACCCTTTTCAGGTTTGGAACGAATTCGTTCCAACCCTAGCGGTTTAAACCTTTTTGTTTTTTTGAAATATGTTTTAAGAGTGTAATACAAGAAAAGAAAATTTAATAGGGGGTGCCACAATCAATACGAAATAGTATGGTGGTTTCGTGTTGATAGTGGCGGCCCTGCTAAATTCTTTTTTCGTGTATTACTTTACTGAAAAGTCATACTAATTTTATGAGTATTACTGTCACTGGTAACACTAATACTGCCAGTATCGCTGGTACTGGTAATAGGAATACTGTTCAGTATTACTGTTATCAGTAACAGTAATATATACAATATTTGTATTACTGGTAACAGTAATAGTAACGTGCCACCCCTACTTGCATATGCCGGTACATATAATATCATATTCATGGACGAAATCATAAGCAGATTAAATAGCGTGATGAGAACCTTCGATTCCCGGATGAAAACCATATGCCAAAAGCAAAAAAAATCGAATTTTTCCGTTTCTTCCTACGATGGGTCCAACCGGACGCGTGGACAGCTACGAAGTCAAAAGTTGAGGACAGCCGAGAGACGAAGCCTAGAAATTTCGTATTTGTTTGAAAAAATCGCGAAATATTTTTTTCTATGTCGTGATGTCGTTGGATTTTTCAATTTGTTTAGTTTAGGAGGAGTTTAAAAAGTTTCCGACAAGTCAGAGAGATTTTATTTACTTTCCGAAAACTTTTCAAATTTCTCTCTATGGGAGTTACACCTGAAGTATTTCCCAAGACTTCTTAATATACATCAAGCTAGAGAGTTTGGGTTTGTTTTATTTTAAACAAGAGACCTAACTACATGGGCTGACCATCGCCGTCACAGTCATTTCCTGATTGCTCATAGCCGATTACCTATTCCGTATTACTTTCATGCAATCAAATAGAAATCGAGTTTTTGACCAATAGAATCAACCCTAGTGGTCCGTCACAATCATTTCCTGATTCCCCATGGTTGATTACCTCTACTATGCAAGTCTCATGGCTGCATGTCTTTTCCTGGATGACTAATAAGACTTTTTCTCTATTCTACAATCTACTCTTCCCTTACATGATTCTTATATGATCGTTACATGATCCTCGATGATCCTATATGATACCATGACCCTCGAAAATCGCTTTTCCCCCCTTGATTTTAACTCAACCAGTCGAAATTTCATGTGAGAAACAGACTGAGTATATCTTTGAAACGCTATTAAACAAATTAGAACAGCAAGAGCATACTAAATTTTTATTATATGATGCTGGTAATACAGAAATTGGTTTAGATAATACAATCCAAGATTTTATTGACAGCTTACCAGAAGAAAAATCTTTGGAAAAAACAGTGCGATTTAAAATTAAAAAGTGAATTTCTCGTTTCAGTTCTTCTAATATCTGTGGAAATCCGATTTATTGTGAGTAAACTTATTTGTTTGATTTTATGCTTAACTGCTTCTTTTTTTTGTTAGTCCATTTTTTTATACAGATGAGTCTTATAACAATGGATCATCATGCAACTTCATTGGTATAAATAATTCTGATTTTAGCATTTCATCGAAGAGATTTTCTGTCATATTGTGTCCTGCTATAGTGTTTAGTAGAATGACTAAGTTTCTTCTAGGTACACATTGTCTGGAATTTTCATCAAGATTGATCGTTCCGGGACGAAAATAGGTTTCTGAGTGGGGGAGCCCTAAAGCAGTGGGAGTAGAACACTTTTTATCAAAGCATCGGACTGATGCTTTAGAATTCGTAGTACTAGTGTTCGGTTTCGTCGACTGTTATTGTGTTATTTTGTAGTTTGCTTTCTTCTGATCCTCTTTTGCCCTCTTTTTATTCTATAAGATGCCACTATGGACTGGGCATACACCGGCTACGGTTAATCCGAACCGATCTAGTGAATAAACGGTTCATTATGAAAAAAGGACATACTGTAATGATTTATATACAGTACAGTCAAGATCTTGTAATATGATTAGAAAGCTAACGGGTATTTCATGTATTATTTTCTGTATATGAAGGCAAAAGCTGAATACTCCTAAAATATCCATTAATATGTAAAATGACTGTGAATTCCTTGAGGGAATATTTTATCGGAATGGCTATTGGCACTCCCATGTAAAAAACTTTGCTGGAAGTGTCGAGAAGGACGTCATCTGACATATAAGCGGCTCGACGTTTGAGCGTTTCTTGAACTATAATTTGGCTCGCAAGATTCTGATTATATATTAGCATTTTGACGGGCATCTCGCTCATCGGAGTGGGAGGAGGGCAAGTGGATAGTGAGAATGAGTGAGAAAGCTAAAAGTCTAATACATGAAAATTGGTGTAAGAAAAGCTGCTAATAAGAGGAAAATTTTCAGTATGCCGTGTCATGTTGAACACTCAATCCAACCATAATTGCAGCAAGTAGGTGAGTTCCAAGAAGTTTAACATTACGGTTGACTGTATAAGAGATCTTTGCATATTGGGTTGCTTAGATATCGAATAATCTCCTTATTGATACCAGCAAGAGGTGTCAATACCAATTTTCATCTATTAGAGTTTTAGCTTTTCCACTTATTCACACTATCCACCTGCCCTCTCCTCTCCCCGATGAGCGAGATGCCCGTGACGACGCGAATAAAATGCAAATATACAATCCGAATTGTGCGAGTCAAAGTATAGTTCGAGAAACCTTCAAACGTCGGGCCGTTTATATGTTAGATGACGTCCTTGTTAACACCTCCAGCAAATTTTTTTGCATGCGGGTGCCAATAGGTTGACACTCCCGGAGTGCCAATAGACTCATCCATACTTTATTTTCCCCTCTCACTAGGCTCAAAGATAAAGACTACGTTTATAAAAAAGGAAAGTAGCATGAAAATAAAATTTAATTTTCATTACCTAAATGCATAACTGTGTGTAATGAATACATAAACAGAAAAATTTACACCTGATCGTGAGCAAAGGTCTAGTACCTTAATCTTTTACGCAAAGAATTAAAGCCGGTACTAATCGGTTTCGGTTACAGCGGTTCATGCAGCGGTAAGTTTACCTTGGGCAGCTTGCACTACAACTGTAGTCACGTGCTCATTATCACATATTGAAGCGTTTTTCTTCTTCCAGTCACGGATAAATTGCGACATAACATCTATATAGCCATCTATATAGCCACATCCATCTATATAGCCGAATGATTGTGGGATGCTATGCTCAAGATAACAGAATCTCTCTTCTCGTGTATATCGAATGGCATCAATTACTTCTCCTTTCACTCTTCTTGTTCGATGACGATTATCTTTACGCATATGCACCATTCGTGTGAAATTAATCAGATGGGTACCTCCCAGTTCGACTTCTCGCTGTTTCTTCTGATAACGTCCTTCAATTAACTCGCAGTCTAAATCAGAATAATTCTTCCATTGTTTCTGCTGTTGATCATTCGAAGGATCAGAGTTTGATTGCCAACCCCAGAGAACTTTCTTGCTTGAGGATGGCACGGACAGGAACGTGGAGTTCACGCTCGCAGCCATACTTGTGTGCGAATCGAACGCTGAATTTGTGGATGATAAAGGTAAGTATCTCAAGAAGCACTTATGTTTTTATCGATCTATTTCAAAAAGGTAGAACGACAACATTCATAGGTAAGTTAACTGTAACCCCCTCTCCCCAGAATAAAAGGCCATGTCCTTACACAGTGTCTCGGCACATCGCTAGTTTTCGGGTGGCCTTCTATTGAGGGTCAATTTCTGGCCAACTATTTACATAGTGCACTTATCTCTAGGTGATTATTCGAAAGTTGTATTACATATTTTTGAGATTTCAGCAAATTAGGCTGTATTATTTCACTCAATAAAACTGATAATTCTTTTATCTTATTTGTAAGTTGATTTGATGAAATATCTATTGTCTTTAATTGAATTTCAAATAGTGAATCTTTAACAGTAGTAGTCAATGAATCGGAATGAGCTACATTGCTTCCTTAAGTCAGTAGTTCACGAACATTTTCTTGTTGCTGTTGCCGTAATTCTTCAGATTCTATAATAATTAATAAAGTGTTATTGTCTTTCGTATAATCTTCTTGTTCTGCAGCTTCTTTTTCTCCATCTTCTAATGATTTCTGTTCTGATAATTCTCGAAAAGGATTCATGGTATAACTTTAATTTTCATTTTCTTTTTCACAACAGAGTTTTGTGAGTGTACTACTGTCTTCATCGTTTAAAATCAGTTTTTGCATTAACTGAGTACGTAATTGTATAAAAGGACACATATAGCCATATAATTTTCACATTTAATATCATCTGTTAAAAATACTAATAATAGATTCTCCGCACAAAGTGAATTACGCACAGTTATTAATGATAATGATGATTGTTGAAAGAGATGATATTCAATTTGTTTTAAATCAGCGAGTAAATTTGTTATTGTTAGTAGAGTTGTTTTTATATCGTCCATTATAATTGTTGATCAAGCATTTTCTCGAAAATATGTTTCAAAACATTTTCACGTTAAAGCAAGAGCTTGCTGAACTCGAAGCACTGGAGAAGAACGGTCATACATTTGAGTCATTCTGCAGAAAACATTCAACTTTACTTCCAATGTTGAACCAGATGGCACTTCGATTCGGTCCTATACCCGCGCCCTCAGTTCCCAGTGAGAGCGCATTCTCAATCGCAGGCTATGTTGCTCGAAAAACACGGTCTTTTCTCTCAGCTAAAAACTTAAAATATTCAATGTTCCTAAAAGAAAAACTTTAATCTTTTCTTTAGTCTGCTTTTCTTAGAAAGATCATACTTCTTTTATTTTACTTTTTAACCATACTTATCTGAGGAATAAAAAACTGACCATTTTACATACTTCTATTTATGATTGCAGGACTTCGCTGATATGAACGTCTAATGAACATTTGGGACGTTTAAACTTTGTCTAGACGACTAGTGAGCTGTTCGAACATATCAGCTCCTTTCAAAAGAACTGTTCAAACATATCAGCTCCGTTCGAAAGAACTTTTCAACAGTTCCTATGATAGGAGTTGATATGGGACTGTCATACTCCTAATCATGTTCTTCGAATTGGGAATATGGTTAGCAAGATCACACTGGTAGAAGTTGCATTATTTTCTCCAGGCAATCGCTGTCACTCTAGTAACTTTACTATTTCGATTTGAATGTGCTGTGCATCAAAAGCCACCATATTTATTTCTAATCAAGCAAAAAGACAAAATATACAAGAAGCAGAAAAGAATAGTGTGTATCGGTTAGGATATAACTTTCATTTTCTCAGTTTTTTTCCAACGTATGTTTGTAAAACTGTTCTTTATACATAGTCGACGATTGATTGTAGAGAAAATAAGAGCTAACTTGTGGTGCATACGATAAGAAACAAGCTACAGTTAATGAATAACGTTGCCAATTGACGTTTAATTCTGTACAAGCCAATGAAAATGATATTATAAATTGTGGTAATGAACACAAGAGTATGAGTAACGATGGTATGAATAGTTCTTTTTGTTTTTGTAATTGTTCACGAAACACTCTTATTTGAGTCCTGTTTCGAGTAGCATTTGCACGTTTTCGAACAATCAAAATAATTGAAATGAATGTTAAAATAAAATTAATTAAAACTGGAATCGAATAGTGAATGAATATATTGACTTGATTGTAGATTGATAAAGCAGTAGAATATTGTGTAACACACACACACCACGTACCTACAAAAAGGAGAGCAGAGCATTTCTAACATGGAAACGCTGGTTTATGTGGTCCTAGTCTTCATAAAGTCCGACATATTCTCATCCGCGGATGTCAAAAAGTATATACCCATTTTCAACTTCATTCTACGCGCTCTTTTGACGCATACGACACCTTATATGCGATGTCATCGTACATGTCTTGGCTCCCATATATCCTTAACATAAACAAACAGTTATACCCACCATGCTCGCTATATTTTGGATCTTGTACAATATGATACACAACCAGTTCATGCACATGTGAACCAAGTGTAAGAACGACAATTATAAGAATAATATGTTTAACAATAGCCGGCTTTTTCAACCACAGACATTTTGGATAGAGTATAACATACAGGCGTTCAATCGTGACGAGTCTCGTGAGCTAATAACTGATTTTCGTAACTGTTGATAGTATAAAACTAACTAAATTACACCAAATCGTATTCCATAAAGAATTCCAAATCATTCCTTTCGTACCCAAAAGAACATGTATGGCTTTCAGCAAATAAAAACATCAATGACAACTGACTTCTTAAACTGTGAACAAACAGATAATAACCACTGCCAACTAGACGTGGTTTCGGGCATTGGAATGTTAGAAAACAACAGAGATTACTACAGAAACCAATTAGCAATAACAGCACTGGCACTACGATGTATAATACGAAAGACGCTTTCTGTACAATGGATGACGTTGAAAATAGATCACTTGTTATTAGTGATTCAAGTGTAAAACTCAACACTTTTGTATTATGTTGACAAACAGAACCGTAGTAGCATCGAGGACAAACACACAGGAAATCTGCTCTATCTGCTGCTGATGATGCCAAAGTCTGGACATCATTTTTGTCTGCTTCATTGGCAATCGACATCAACGTCAAGAAAATAAACTTCATCAATGCAATGACCTGACTGACAACGACATTCAGATTCTGAATCACATCGTTATGTAATAATTTTTCACAATACTCTTCATCGACGCCCCCAACACACTGTTGTTTACCTGAACGGAAGCGAAAATACGTCTACAGACACCCTGACAGACTGATTTTATATGTATATATACACTCCAGAAAGTAATAACTTTCTAAAAAATAAAACCATTTCTGGTCCTCTACTTGGCTGGTTCAAGTCATATCTGCCTGAACTTACACAGATAGTAACGGTGGGATCTGTTCATTCTACTTCAGTCCCTGTTGTTTCTGGAGTGCCTCAAAGAAGTATTCTTGGCCCCGTCCTACTTTTAATCTTTATTAATGGAGCTAGAATCGGGCGGTTGGAGCTAGATAACATGGTTTTCGACCCGCTTAAGCTAGATCCACCTTAAAAAGTTTAACCTAGGATCGAGCGGTTCAACCTACTTTTGGGCGGTTGGGGAGGTTATAAGCTAGGTTAACCGATCGCGTAACCGACCGATCGAGCCAGCTCTATCTGATCTACCTCCAACCGCCCACTTAACCGACCGGTTAAGCTAGTTTCTGGTATCAAATAGATTAAACACAGGGAGGTTATTAGCTAGGTTAACCGCCAACTTAACCGATCGATCGATCTACCTCCAACCGGTCAATTAACCGACCGATTCAGCTAGTTCAAGACATGAAATGCATTAGATACGGGGAAGTTATCAAGTAGAGTAATCTATAGGTAAACTGGGCGGTTGGAGTACCCAGTTAATCGGGTAGCTTAAAAAATAAGAAGGAATATGTGCCTAACGAGAATCGTAAGATGTAAACGTCTTTTCTTTCTAAAAAGAATGAAAAAGCCCAAGTTTAAAAATTTCTTTTCGATTTTTGACATAATTTCGTCCAATGCTCTAAAGTATTTGAAAAGAAAAAGTGATAAAATGAGCACTAGACTTGAAGCAACTCAATAACCTACATTCGACAAATAATCGTCATTAATACGACGTAGGAAACAGTAAGATAATATGTTACGGTTGTCTCGATTATTACTCCCGCTGCTGCTGTACACAATTCACTGTTATATACTGTTCGTCGGAAATACAATAAAAATCTTTGTATAACATTTACCATTTTTAATAATACCAATATAAAAAGTAAACTAAAACATTTGGTTCCGGTAATTGGACAGGGTGGTGCGTATGTGACATTATCGTAACGATCGGACTAAAAAGTATTCTATTGTTGAATACAAGCGAACCTCTAACGTTTAGTTAGCCTTCCATTGCTGTAAAGACAACTCAAGACTATCATACGTTCCCCGATAGTAGATTCTTTTGATTATTAGAAACGATGTTGAGTAGGTGACATAAACTCAAAAGCAGCTGAGACATGATATTCGTCAAAGGGCTGACATTTTCCTTACACGACTGAACAGATTTGTAAAAGAGTAAATTTTTCAAAAAAGTGCTCAGTTTGTCCCCTTAGCTGACATCTCTTACTCCAGATATGACATAGTATCCTTATTCTGAAAGAATATTCTCAATCTGGAGAGTTTAAGCTTCAGTAATGCCAAACGTCGAACTTGAAAGACGAAGAGTTCTTGGAGATAAACCCTTGAATGGATTTCTGACGAGGGAAACTTCCTAGATACATACCGCCGTTTTCGATGATATTATATCAGCTGACAAAGAACATTGTCGTGATAAAAACTCTAGAAGGATTTGGGTCCATGCAGCATTCTTCCCGAGTTATGATTGACTTAATGAAACTCGTGTTTTGGGTATTTTTACTATAATTGAGCATTCCAACGCACCAAAGAGCTGAAACATACAGCAGTGATAGTCCTAGCTGTAGTCAAAGGTAACAAATCATTTTACAAGTTTTTCAGTACCAAAAC